TGTGTGTGTTTTTTGTATGTGTCCAACCCAAACCTTCGATCAGACTCCATCAGTGATAGTTGAAACTTTTTGATTCAATAGATATGGATCTCGACGAACTCGGAGAATCTAAACTTCTGATTAAAAATTGTTTCATGGCGAAGATGAGATCCTCCATTGGATTCAGTGTGGCGAATTCATTAATGATCAGAAGTTTTGCAAAATCTCATATGTCATCCAATGCTTCTTCCTCCGACTCCAAACAAGATCTCTCCATCTCGTCCTTACCGCCTCCGCACATAGTCCACAAATTCACCGCCCCTGGTTGCTTTCTTTTGTCGCACGAATCATGATGTACGTCTGTGTACACTCTTCCGTCAACCCGTAACTCTCGCATTTCACAAACTCTATGTCACCACCTGTGTCCTCCTTAATTGACGTCAATTTCGCTTCCATACTAGACATCATACCCATATCCTTCACCATTATCGCTGTCGTAGAATATTAAAACCAAATCAGATAATGAAAAAAACAGCTTACAGTCAATAATCTACAATCGACACAGCTATATAACAGTAAAAAGAATTCAAACTGGTATGAAATTGAAAGAGGGAGATAGAAACTAACATGGAACCAAGAAGAGGATGAGAAAGATGGTAAGTCTCTGGGCTGAAGTTTGATTGGAGGTTTGGGCTACACACACACACACACACACACACACACACACACATATATATATAATATCTTTTAGAGTAAATTGTAAATTTTGTTCCTGTGATCTGTTGTTTTTAGTGAAAATAGAAAAAGGGCAAAATGATCCATATACCCTCATGTACAAGGCATATGAGGGGGTTTAACGGGAATGAATCTGTCGGAGTTAGTCTCAAGGACCCAAACCAAGAACTTCTAATTACCACGAGGGTTTTCTTGCAATATAATTTTTGTAAGGACCCAAACCATGAAAAACAACAAACCATGGGGACCAAATTTGCAATTTACTCAAATTTAAATTTACCGATGGAAATCCCTAATTTTGTTTTTTCAAATAATTGAAAGTGCGTATTTCTTATAAAATTAAACCTGCCAAAATACCACAAATTTAGAATCTGCTTTTACAATGGAAAAAAAATACATAATTTGTTTTTACAAATAAACCACACTAATCATAGATATCTACTACGGAGGAGTGGGAGGGTTTCCTGCCTGGAACCATATCATAAAAGTAGAAAACTAGTATGTTACCTCCATACTGCCAAGCTAACTCATTAGGTGTTTTCTTTTATTGTTGTTCCAAAGTTGTCGTCTTTCTCTGTTCAGCCGCAAGTGGATCCTCATTGCTCACTAGCTTCTCGTTTGACACATCTACTAGTAATTATTCAACATTTGACAAAAAATCAACAATGTTAGGTGATAAATGATTAAAAAATATACATATATTGTATAATATATATTATATGAAACATACCTATGCCAACCGATTACCATACGAGCTTTCGCTACTGCTACTAACATCAAGATCACTAGTCATTGCAAATGGGGGATCATGACTGTTCCTGAATCCAAACAAGCGGCCCTTGTGCTGGCCTTCAATAATACGCTCCTACAATTCTAGGTCACCAGGGGAATGGTGTTAGGATCTAAGCCACCGTATGTCTCGTTCCTAAGTTACACATACATTTCCTATGGTTTATAAAAACAGAATGTGTTAAGCTAACTTGTAGACAATTCGACAACCTAATCGTTGTAATTCGAGCATATTCTTTACCTTTTTTTAACAAATAGTATGAAAGTCTAACATTTTCCCCAACAATGGTAGCCCAAACAAATAGTTATCTAACATATAGAACTAACCAATTCTATAAAACAAACTATTGCGATTATCAACCAAAAGTATTACCTATCAATGGTTATCTTCACTACCACCATCAATTATACCCTCTAATCATAATCCTGGATACACGTTGGAAAAAATAATAATAAATCAGGTTTCAATTCGGGTGAATTCAAGAGTTTATGTAATAAAAAAATAAAAAATCAAACTGACTCAATAATTCCAAAACAATGCATGATTTGTTAGTATTATGCAAACCAACACATTACTTTAATCAAAATCAATAAAAGAAGTGGTTATAAATTTCAAACGAGGTAACAATCATTGCACCATGTAGGGAGACCCACAACATAATCGGAATCAGTGAAGGAACACTACCTAGTAGTCCACTTATCCGTTTGGCTAATTTAAGCAATATCGCCATGGACACGTTCTATCCTACAGGCATTATGCCTATTGGAGTAGCTGGAACCTACACATACATGGTATTACAATACAATACCCATTGGCAACAACCCATCTAATTGTAAAAGTAGCAAACGCAATACAACGTAACAAAAGGGGTGACCCTAAATTTCAAGTTCCTGATAAAGCTCGTTCCTGACATTTTATACCTGGGTGGGTGAAAGAAAATGGGCCCTCCATATGAACGGAGTCACGGACAAATCTCAAAAAAATGTTTTCTTTGTCATCAAAAGTAAAATTGCTTACAATAAATAATGATACTTCATGCAAAACAACTTATTTGAGTGGAAGACTAGGAGTATAAAAACAATCTTTGATAAAAACACAAAATAAACATAAACCAGTTAGTTTGGCATCATTCCCCTTCAGGTCTTTTCACCTCTATTTTCTATTAACATTTTTCCAGAATTCATACACAGTAGCCAAATTGTTGACAAAACCATTGACCATTTTGGCATTTTAATAGTAGCCACTAGCCACTAGTGATTTGCCAAATACATAGATCATAAATTCATATACACAATAGTAATTACAAATACACAAAAGTACTGCAGCATGCTAATAACCCATAGTTCAACTCTGCTTAGAAGAACTTCTAATCAAAACCTTATGTCCATAGTTCAACCTTGATTTTGATGGAATGGCAGGTTGAGTACCTTAGTTGGCAGTCAAAGATGAAACTCTTTTTGCAGTCTTATTAGAGTATACAACTGGAACTGGAAATGAATGGAGWGATCTGTTTGGTAAACCGACTTAAGAAGGCAAAARAGTGATGTGWTGGAAGCTAGTGGATTTTTTAATGTTATGGACTTATTTTTCTAGTAGTTGTAAACGGCCCAAACACAATAGCCAAACRCACAAATTGACAAAAACATACACCATTTTCTTTTTATTAGATTCAACAATTGAAGTTTGAAACTCAAGGTCCTTATAATCCACAAATAAAAATACAGAGAAATTAGCAAAAACATCAAACTAATAATTAACTTTTAAGCAACAGCTTACCTTCCAGACAAGAATCTCGATTTCAATTTCTCGATTTCTTGTAGTGAAGAGCAATTGAACATAAATTTGGTTGTTGATTGAAGACCATTGCAAGAAAATCCATGGGATTCTCCATTGTGATTGAAGACCGTTGTTGGAAATTGGAAGGTCGGCATCAGCTTGAGCAGATTTCTCAAATACGTGTGATGCGAAGTAGGAGGGAAGACGAAGAGATTTTCTTCGTTTCTCAATTGTCATGTATTTGATCTGATTAGTTAGAACTTTAATTAAGTTTGGGGTTAGGCCCATAAGATTTTTGGTCTTACAAAGGTTTAAACAATTTATAACATATAATACATAATTATTTTTTGGGGCCCCTATTTTCCATGGGCTTTGGGGAAAAGCCCAACCTGCCCTCCGTCAGGAACGGGCCTGGTTCCGAATCTAATACCTCACCGCGAGAGCATACAAATAGCTCAAACGCCTCAATTAAACGAAGTACATTTCTCAATAATTTAAATCAATAGCATGCTAGTTAAACATCAAGTTTCAATACATATAAATGCATTCCATACAGTTCTTTAAAATAGTTTAGCTAGATGAACCCTTTCTATAATCTTCCGATATGCTCTATTTTTCTCCTTTACCAASAAATCCCATTCTTGTTCTCCATGACGTGACTGGAAAATTGCTATGAYCGATGAATATAATGCTCTAATGTCTAACAAAACRTGGTAATTAGTCCCTAAACCATGTAATGTTAATGTTATTCGGTCTATGTGGATTTTTTTCTCATAAGGAGAAACCTGATGGTTTATTTGAGAGGCATAAAGCCCGTCTTGTAGGTGATGGGAAGACACAACAGGTAGGCATGGATTGTGGTGACACGTTTAGTCCAGTCGTAAAACCAACTACAATACAGACAATACTTTTGTTAGATCTTTTGAAAGATTGTTCCATTCACCAACTTGATGTAGAAAATGCATTCTTGCATGGAGAACTTAAGGAGACTGTATTAATTCTTCAACCATTGGGGTTCCGGAATCCCGATTATCCATCCCACGTTTGTCTATTGAATAAATCTTTATACGGTCTTAAACAGGCCCCCCAGGCTTGGTACCAGTTTGCCGAGTTTCTAGCTACCTTTGGGTTCATTCATAGCACATCCAACCATTCCTAGTTCATCTTTAAATGGAGATTGAAAATGGCCTATCTTCTTCTCTATGTGGATGACATTATCCTGACAACATCTTCAGATGCTCTTCGCTACACTATTATATCCCATCTAAGTATGGAATTTGCAATGAAAGATCTCGACCAAATAAGCTATTTTTGAGGATTGTTGTAACCCATCCCTTGGGTTATGAATATGTAACCGACTAAAATTAAAAACAAAAAAATACCCCTACTACTTTACTTAGGCGAGTTATTAAACCAAAAACAATTAAGACATTTGATTGGCTAATATGACTATGCATAGTTAACATTATTTAAGTGGTTAAAAAACAATCGAGTATGTATGTGTATGTGTGTATAGTTATATATCTATACATATGATGTACATTTAGGTTTTGGAGAGGTACTATTTCATGATCTAGCTTTATCCTTTACCATAAATTCAATATAACAATTTCTTATTTCTCAATTTATTGAAATCAATCAAATATTATTAATGCATCTGTAACAAATTATAACACCGAAACAAAATAAATACTACAAGATCACCTTCACTAATGGATGACCAATGAATCGTGCAATAAAATAAGCTAATCTAAAGCCCAAACAAACCCTAGAATGAATCTTGAATATCTCATTTAGAGAACACTAAATTGTTGGTTTAGATAGGTTTATTAGCAAACCACCTCTTAACCATCTGAAAACATTCTTCTGGTTTGAACTCCGGAGCTGTATGACCCGCTCCCTACACAATTAATGGTAAATGACAAAATTTCAGTTTATTTTAACACAACAAATATCTTCCCTATGCATGTAAACTTAAAAAAAACATGGTGTACCTTTACAGTAGCAAATACTAAAGAATAATTATCACGAGCGTATGTGGTTTTGTATCCTGCGGTTTGACCATTACTATACCATGCWTCCCAATTACTCTCTGTGATCGTCAAATTAAGAGAATTTATCCAATTACGTGTGCCCACATGTGGCACCATCATGTCATGATCTCCACTATTTCAAAGAAAACAAAATTAGAAATTGATTTAAACAAGCAATTCATTTTGAGGGAACCAAGAATTAAGCACAATAAAAAAAAATCAATACCTGAAAATCAAAGCTCGACAATTTCTCTTACTTAGCTTTTCGTGGTAGACAACACTGCTTTTGACATTGAACTCATACAATGGCATTGAAGGTTCACCATAATTGTATTTCATGTCCAAATTACATAGCAACCATTCCTTCACTGTTCCCTATATATTTTAGCAACATTATATATATATATATATATATATATATATATATATATATATATATATAAATTAGATAATAATAGATTTTTGTAAAGCATACACAACATTCTGTTTCTCCTCATTTGATTGTTGGTTAGTATATATACCTTGCGTACGTTAAGTGCTTCCATAACGTTTTCATCGTTGGCCCAGAGTGTTGCATAGTTATAATAGTCACCCTGTTCAAAAGTATACAACATATAAATTTACAGATTCATAGATGATTAGAGATACAAGTGCATGAAAAAAAGAAGAGATAATTACTCGACAAAAAGTATCCTTGTGCAAAGATAGTGCAGGAAGCATTTTAATTGGATTGGCTGCCCGTAGAGATTTTCGATTTCCGCTTATAATCGGATTACCACTTCTAACCAAATTGGTCGCTGGATCGCAATCTGGATCCAGAATTTGTTGAATGTTGATGTCTCCAACACGCTGACACRAAAGAAAATGAAGTATTGGCTAAAAACACAGAAAATAATTACAAAGGTAAATTCAATATATATAGTTATGAGTTATTCTTACTTTGTTAACTTCATCAATACGTGACATGCATTGCAATTCGTTTGAATTGGCTTCAGCATAATCTCCTTGACAATCGTTTTGTGTTGCCTATAATTAATAATTCACAAAGGAAATTAGTATCATCAATTACATTCTATACATTATGAAGAAAACATATGAATAGAACCATGATGAAATGGAGATGATAATATCTTACATACCTCATACAATTCTTGAGATATGAGTGCCACACGATAAGCATATTCAAGCCTAGAGTTTATATCACCAGTTTTATCCGTCAGTGGATTTCCCCCCATGTATCCCTGAAAAATTCCAACATCAATTCCCATAGAATATACGGCGTCGCATGTTGTGCGCTAAAAAATTGTACAAGATCGTGTACATAGAAATTTTTTGAAATTTAATTACTTGTCATCTGTAATATACTTACTTGGATATTTACAATTGGCTCTAGTCCTTCTTCATTACCTTTAAAATTTGGAAATGTAAAACAAACAAATTAGGTCATTTTACTCTTCTTTTATTTCTTAAGATATATTTGTTGCTAAATTTGATAAAGAATTAGACCCAATATGCAAAGAATGAAGTACAAAAATTAAATATTATACCTTTATACAATTCCTCGGTAATGATCGGAATGATAATCCCCGAATATGAAATTCCAGTAACATACATAGGATTCTTTAAAAACCTTGGATGGTTTTTAACAAACTGCGTTGTAAATAATTCTTAGTAAGAATCCTTCATCAATAGTACCTATATACGTYWGAAAACTTATTAAACCTTCACCAACCTTTCTTAGAAATTCTGCGGTTTGTGCTGCTGATGATGTATCGCTAGAAACAATGGCTTCGGAATTTTTTGTGTATGAATATCCGGTTAACGTAGGTGCATCCAAATATATCACATTTGCCACCTTTAAATCCCCATAAAGGATTTTAATGTAATAAGGTAAACACAAGTTATTAACTTAACTACACTACAAAACAAAAAGGCTTTACCAATCAATAATCCGTCGGAAAAAGCCACCATTACCGGAGAAAGTGTGGCTCGTGATCGTGATTAACGGCGGATTTTGTGATGGTCAATCCGTCGGTGATCCGCCACAAATCCGTTGAAAATTATGGTCAGAAAAAGTATGCATGTGAAGAGTCTTTGTTTTTTAGTGCAAGGGATCAAGTTTAAATGAAAACCGTAAATATTTTAAGAACAAATGAACCATTTATTTCTTCTATTATTCATGATGAATAACCTTAAATAATAATGAATGTCTATCACGACATTTGTATTGAATATATATATATATATATATATATATATATATATATATCACGAGGTCCCCAATTCTTAAAATGCACTACAACAAAATTGGGTTTATAGGACGCTCTAAATCTCTAAGCATCCTAATAGACYTTTTTATAGGACCAAAATATAAAGCGTTCTATGTAAAGGCGTTGTTATAAGTTTATATGACATTTTGGGGCACCTTAACAAATTTTTTAGGACATTTTTAATGCAAAGCGTCGCATTAGAAAACTTTGTAGAACACTTTTGAGAAATTGTCCTATAAACTCAAATTTTTATAGGACACTTATTYTTATAGGACAGTTTTTCAAACAGTGTCCTATAAAATTGCTAATGAGACACTTTATATTAAAAATGTTATAAAAAACTTATTACGACGTCAAAAAACGTTATATAAACATATTACAACGCCTTTAGATTGAACACTTTATTTTTTGGTCCTATAAACTAAGTCCTATAAAGAGGTTTATTAGCATGCTTAGAAATTTGGAGCGTCCTATAAACCCGATTTTGTTGTAGTGATGTTTATGGTTCTCGTTTTAACCCGTCCCACTTCACTAGAGATTTAATATGATACAAGTATATACACATACCTTCGTCCAAGAATTAGGGTCCAATTGTAAAGCTGGGACGTTATCCATATAATTCCCATACCGAATCTGCATCGGACCTATAAATATAATATGATTTTAATACTATATTGGAGATCACTCATAAACT